TGACTTGAGGTGCATCTACACTGTTGAAAAATACAGCTTTAAGTGCTGTATCTCCATGCTCTGGAATCCTGGGATTTGTAGTTTTCCAAAGTCATTAGCCTACTCTGCCAAAAAGTGCTGGTGCCTCACAACCCCACAAACCAACCATCTGAATGAATTTCTAGCCAGTAAATAGGACATAGGACGTTATCACACGTGGGCCAGAAAGCGATAATAAAGTGGAAATGAGGCATTCCGAAAATAAACGGAAAATAAACCTTGATTCCGCAAATGGCTTTCACACATAATTACCTTAATTGCAGAATTACAGTAAGCGCATTGAACGTTCACACACAAGCGAGAAAAGCCTGTAAATGTACTAGAAATGAGCCTCTTGCACATGCGCAGATAGAGGAATGCTTGCTGGAACCATGGGAAAAGCAGGGAAATGCTCCCAAATTCGCATTTGCTTTTCACATTACTGTAAATGCGAAATTACTGTAATTTCACAAATGCATTTCCTCAAAACAACCGAATTTCAAAAGATCTCGGATAACACCAGTTTCTGTCCACTTTCTGTCCAGTTTCTGTGCGACGTCGTGTGAAAACGTGAGGCACAAATCCAGTTTTTGTTTGGGATTTGTGTGGATTAACCAGCAGATTTGATAACGTCCATAGAGTTGGGTGCTGGACAAGGATCTCAGGAGATGAGGGTTCAAATCCTTGGTCAGCCATGGAAACACGCTGAGTGATCTTGGGCAAGTCACAATCTCTCAGTCTTAGAGGAAGGCAAGGACATTGGCAAATTTCCTCTGAATAAAAAGCCCTGCATACCTTTCACATTGCATACTTTTCACATCAGTCACTTATAGCATTACAATTCCATTTTAACTGTGATGACAACAGTCTAGACCAGGGGTAGGCAATCTTTCCCCGAGGGACTTCAGCTCCCAGAAGCCTCAGCCATGTAGGCCAATAGTCCCATGTTGGCCAATAGCTCCTGGGATTCTGGGAGTTGAAGTCCCTCGGCCCTTAAAGGGGAAAGGTTGCCTACCCCTGGTCTAGACTCTATGGCAGGGGTAGGCAACCTTTCCCCTTTAAGGGCCGAGGGACTTCAGCTCCCAGAATCCCAGGAGCTATTGGCCAACATGGGACTATTGGCCAACATGGCTGAGGCTTCTGGGAGCTGAAGTCCCTCGGCTCTTAAAGGAGAAAGGTTGCCTACCCCTGCTCTATGGGATCTTGGGGTTTGTAGTTTGGATGAGGCATTGAAGTGATGCAATTGAAACTTCTAAATGCCTTTCCCTAAAATAAAAACCCAAGGAATCAATAGGATGTTGCCAGGCCTTTTAAAATGTATTCATAGCACTATAACTATGTAGTGTGAAAGGGCCCCCTATAATGCAGTCACCATTTGACAATTTATATCCTTCCTTTCTTCCACCAAGGATCCAAGGTGGCACATACCAACAACAAAGCCAAATGCAGTTCAAGCATCAAATGTGAAAATATGTTTATTCTGTGGACAAGATAGCCTTCAGTTCTGTGTTGTATAGTCTTAAACATACATGTTCCTAAGAGATCCAGGATGCTGCCACACTGCAGAATTAATGCAGTTTGATACCACTTTAACTATAATGGCTCCACCCTATGGAATCTTGGCATTTGTTGCGGCACCAAAGTTCTTATCTCACAGAACTATAAATCCCCATAATTCCATAGTTTTGATCCATGGCAACTGAATAGTGTCAAACTGCATTAATTCTGTAATATAGATGCATTCTCAGCTGGCTTTCATGGAACTCCTTAGTAAAGAAGTAGGGCAGATGTTTTAAACTATAGTCCCCACAATCTCTTATCTTTGGCCATGCTGGCTTGGTGTTGCTGCTGTCGAAAATCAAAGCTCCTAGATGATAAAAAATTTCCCAACCCGACTTAACAATATTGCAATTAGATGTTTGCCTGACATGATTAACTCAAAAACAACTCTTTCAAATTTGTTGCATTCTAATTAGTCCTTTTATTGTATACAAGGTTCTTGACCCGGCTGAAATAAAGGTGGTAGTCTTTAAGATGCCAAAGGACTCTGATTTGGTTTTGCTGGAAACTGACCATTTACTTCACATTAATAATTTCTGCAAAAAAGCACAATATAATATCTAAGGACTGATTACTCATGAGAAAAAGGCCTTTAAAGCTGTGTTATATTGTCCATATTTACTGTCCATATTTACCAATTCTGTTGATAGTTTAATTACCATATATTTTATCTTTTGTATAAATGTGTACTTTTAGTGGTATCCACCTTGAGTCCTAGGGCTGGGTAAATTTCAGGATATGAATAACAACAAAGCCACTGAATTCATTATGAATAGTTCTCAATACCTATGTAAATCTAATGGGTCTAATGGGTCTACTTTCATTGGGACTAGGAATTGGATTTAGG